CTTTTGAAGCACACTGTCCAAATGTCCCGTTACTGTGCTTTGCTGCATACTTCCAAAATCTTTTGGACTGCATGACCTGGATGCCTTCTGGAAAAAAATTAAACCAGAAAGTTTAATGCATTCCAGGGAGTGCTATTATGCATTTAGTCCGTAGAACCAGACTACACATAATTTGCAGTAAAATCCTTGAAATACATACAAGATAAACACCAGGTCTTCATCACCATTTCACTCTGCATTGTACTACGTGTTCAGATACGCAGTCTCTTGATTTCCAGAATGAAGAATTAGACCATCCTTACCCTAAGCACCAGAGAGGTGTTACAATGCGACTGCAGACATTCACTTCAAAAGACACCCGAATAGCTCCGAATTTTCAGTTCAGTTTATATCGCTCTTGGTTAAAGATCTGAAATTCTCAAAGCTGGAAATTGAACTATCAGTACTACACACCAATATGTTAGGCTACCAACCTGGTAAAGTAAACCACCTTAATATTTATAACTCTTCATCACCTCTACAAAACAGAGTAAAGAGAGCATCTGACTAAATGAGCAAGACTACTGGAGAGTTCCCACGTTTTTCTCCAGCAAATAGCATGTACCTGCTTGAGAATGAAATGGCAGGAAAAAGGAATCATAGAATTATAGGGTGGAAAAGACCTCTAAGATCATCGAATCCAACCATCCACCCAACACCACCATTCCTATTAAACCATCTCCTGAAGTGCCACATCTACACGTCTTTTAAATGCCTAAATAAAAAAGGAAAAGAGAGAACGCCTCAAGCAGTAACAACAGACCTGTCTGGTCTTAAAGCAAATGGCAGAAACTCTCAAGAGCTCTGTGTCTCAGACAGCGCACAGATTTCAGCTTTGCCAGAATCCCTGTTTTCAGAGAAATGTCAAGGCAGGTGATCCTGATATTACAAAACTACTATATAACCTACATACTCAACAGCTGTTTTCTCTACTGAAGGGGGGTAGGGGGGAAGAGGTGTTTGTGTCCCGTAAAATACACATCTAGATTTTTTTTCTCTCAACACACAACGAAGTTAAAAATCATGCATAAACACCACCATACACACAAGGATCAACTAAACTATTCAATGTCTCTTAATGAGATTCTGGCTGTCAACCACAACATTCCTGACAAGCATCAACCTACCACATACATTAAATAAAACTTCATATTGTTGCCAAGCACACAAGTGTTCTTGTAAATAATGGCCTTTTTTCAATTTGCCTTTCAGTATTTTCTCTCATCCTCTTCCTTCTTATTCATTCAAATACCCCAAATCCCTTCACCATTCTGTTCTCCTTCACTCATGTCCGAATAACACCACCTAAAACCCATATTTATTCCCCTACATCTGTACTAATATTTACTCATCTGAACAACTAAACTACAGCTTATTATCCTACAGTACTGCATGTATAATGCTCTGCAGAAGAACAGACTCAGCAAAGCCCCTCCTTCTGACTTTAAAATCTGTGAAAGTTCATAATAAACTTAGCTTTCTGTTTTACCATTTTTATTAATACTACTAGCCATATTTTTTTCCCCTTTGCTACTAAGACTTTAAAGTTTTTAGCTGTCCAGTTCTATTCGGATATTAAATAAGGTGTTGAAGTGTGAGTAAGAGTGAAAGTTGGGAGATGCAAGATTATAGCAACAGGCTTTGGTTTTCAAAATTACTAGTAATGTTAACGTTATCAACATAGATTCTTATTAGCTCAAAGTAAAAAAATATTTATTTGGGGATAAATGAATATAAAATGCCATTCATGTATGTCTAAAAAAAAAAACCCTGTTGTGCCTGCCTATTTTAATCTTCTAGCATAATTATAAAGACCTCCAATAGTCTGCTTAGCACACACACAGAAAAAAGAGACTGAAATATGACCTGTTCAGAATTAGATAATAACAACATCTCAAGTATATAGCAACACTCCTATCACATTTAGTGTGAACCGAGTTTGCTCTTTCTGTAAGGATGATATTTTGACTACATAATACAGCAGAACATTGAGATGTCTGTCTAATTACAATATCTATATATATTAAAAAGAAATCTCCACTCTGTAATATCTATTTCCATAACTCTCTTCTTTCCTATTAGCTAAACAAACATTGGTTAAACTGTTACAGAATCACAGAATCACAGAATAGTAGGGGTTGGAAGGGACCTCTGTGGGTCATCTAGTCCAACCCC